AGACCAACATCATTTTGATACCAAAACCTGGCAGAGAGACAACTAAAAAAGAAAATTTCAGGCCAATATCCATGATGAACATCGATGCAAAAATCTTCAATAAAATACTGGCAAACCGAATGCAACAGCACATCAAAGAGCTATCCATGATCAAGTAGGTTTTACCCTGACGATGAAAGTCCAGTTCAACATATTCAAATCTATAAACATAATCCATCACATAAAGAGAACCAAAGACAGAAACCACATGATTATCTCAATAGATACAGAGAAGGCCTTTGACAAAATTTAACAGCCTTTAAAAATTTTAAAGGGAAAATTTAACAGCCTTTAAAAATTTTAAAGGATCAAGTAAATTTGAAAAGTCCATAAATTAGTTATTTGGACTTTTATTCAAATGTATATATACAAAGGACAACTCATTTTAATCTGAATTGTTGTATAGAAAAGTTGTCCTACTTTGTCAGCATAAATCCCATTCTGGAGTCACTGCTCAACATGTAGTTGAGTGTTAGGTTTTGATTCAACTGTTAAACATCACACTTAAATTCCTCTTCACCATTATTGGCTGTGAAGCCTCAGGACATTTATTTGCTTTGTTTTTGCCATAGTTACCTCATTTGCAAAAACCTGACCCATGGGTCATTTTAAAGAATTATATAATGTATGTGACCTGCTTACGATAGCCAAATACAGAGTAAATACTTGACAAATGTTTGAGCTGCTCATGGGTCTTGTTTTCTCATTTACTCGGCTAGAAAATGTTACAAAAATGACTAAGCAAGAAACTTACTCTACTTTTTTATTATAAGTCTAGCATATTGCATATAGTATTATAGCAAATTGATTTGTAGATGAAAGAATGAATGAATGGCCTTTCTCATAATTGGAAAATATGCAAGCTCAGAAATTAAAAATAATTCGTATTATAAACTAATTGCTCGATGTGGAAGAAATAGGCTGGAAGATGTGCATTTCCATTTAAAAATGCTGAAATATCCTTGTAAAACTAGAATACATTTAGGAAATCAGAGCTTTCCCTAAGTCGGCGCTCACCAAGGAGAAAGCCGTGTTCAGTTCGAGTGCCAAGATCGTGAAGCCCAATGGTGAGAAACCAGGAGCTCGAGTCCGGCATCTCCCAGGCTCTTCTGGAGCTGGAGATGAACTCGGACCTCAAGGCTCAGCTCAGGGAGCTGAATATTACAGCAGCCAAGGAGATTGAAGTTGGTGGTGGCCGGAAAGCTATCATCATCTTTTTTCCTGTTCCTCAACTAAAATCTTTCCAAAAAATCCAAGTCCGGCTAGTACGCGAATTGGAGAAAAAGTTCAGTGGGAAGTATGTTGTCTTTAGTGCTCAGAGGAGAATTCTGCCTAAGCCAACTCCAAAAAGCCATACAAAAAATAAACAAAAGCGTCCCAGGAGCCTTACACTGACAGCTGTGCACGATGCAATCCTTGAGGACCTGGTCTTCCCAAGTGAAATTGTGGGCAAGAGAATCCGCGTGAAACTGGATGGCAGCCGGCTCATAAAGGTTCATTTGGACAAAGCACAGCAGAACAATGTGGAACGCAAGGTTGAAACTTTTTCTGGTGTCTGTAAGAAGCTCACGGGCAAGAATGTTAATTTTGAATTCCCAGAGCTTCAATTGTAAACAGAATGACTAAATAAAAAATATATTCACAGTAAAAAAGAAAAAAAAAAAAAGAAAAAAAGAAATCAGATAGAATGCATAAACATTCTTTTTCATTATTACAGGCTTTGTCTATGTGGATTTGGATTTTAAATGTATGTACTAAACATAAGCAAAGTAGAAGAGAGAGGGAGAGATTATGCAGAGAGTGATTTTTTCCCCTTATATTGAAAAGCTTTCTTTACTACAAGTATATTTAATCTACCTAAATATATGATGTAAGCCTGCTTTATAATAACCATAGGGTATTTGTTAAAAATAGGGAGTCTTACTTTTTAAATTATTGCTTCAGTTGAATTATAAATAAAATAATACACTTCAGAAATATGATAGGGAGGATAGGCAGTCTCTTTGGTCATTGGTTATCCTAATATAATACTTCCTGCCTAGCTAGATTTCTATGACATATTTATATCTCTAGATACCTCTTTTCTCTTACACCCATGATCAGATTTGTGTCTCAAGTGCATATTTATATCTCTAGATACCTCTTTTCTCTTACACCCATGATCAGATTTGTGTCTCAAGTGCACAATAAGGTACAGTTTATATCTTATAACAGTTTAAAAATAAAAAATATACATTTTCTTTGTTCTCAGCAAATAAACACAAATTTATTAGAAAAAACTTGTAAATGTATTAGAAGATATTACACAATATTGCTAAAACAAACAACATGAATTCCATATTGTGGATGTCATGCTAATTGTAAAATATAAAATATACTGTCATTCTAAAATAAATTGCCAATTATAGAACAGATATGAATAAAAATTTGAGGCAAACTGGTAATCTGGTGAATTGATCATTTGACAAATTGCTTAATTGAGTGACGGATTATCTTGTCCTGAATCTATAAGCCTTTTACTAAAATCTTTTAGAATAAAGCCTACCCTGTAATGCTTAAGCATCCCAGTTCTAGAATCAAAGTATCAGGTGTCAAATTCTAACTCCAACACTAAATAGGTGATTAAATGAATATCCCTCTACCTCGGTTTAAGGCTGATGATTGAACAACATGATCTATGTAAAGCACTTAGCATAGTACCAGGAACACAGAAAGAACCGGATAATAACCCTATTACTGTCAAAAACATAGGAACTGACAGTTGAGGGTTACTTAGTCTGGTAATTTTGCCTTTGCAAGTTCAGAAATACCATCAATAGTACAGTTTTTGAGAGACTCTGAACACACTTCAGTCACCAAGTTCGTGCTATGATCTTTAAATAGATGTGTTTTATTATGCATTGTTATCACTATGAATTGATTCTCTAAAAAAAATACCTGTAGGTTTAGGAATTAGTCCTAATAATTAAGTTCCGTCATATGGCTTTGTAATTAATTTAGTTTGTTACCTTACTTTAATATTGCTTTATTTTATGTTCTTTCTCTGACCTTTTCCTGTGACCCTTTTCTCATGATTTAGAGGTTAGCAAAGCTCTCTGATTTCAGTATACTTATAATTAGATTTATTTAGAATGGAAGATAGCAGATGCTAGATGCCATCTTGTTAGGAAGAGCTTTAAAACTTATTGAAAGTTCAAATTTACCAAGTCCACTCATACTACAAGACTTTATGAAAAGCATATATTGCAACATCAGCAATATCTGCATATACCAGATATCTCACTATATATTTTTACTTACTATTAACTTTTTAACATTTTCCAACTAAATTTCCAGTGATTTTGAGGTTTAACTCATAATTATAATTGTATTATTCTTAAAAACAAAGCAGGCCTGGCACAGTGGCTCACGCCTGTAATCCCAGCACTTTGGGAGGCCGAGGTTGGTGGATCACCTGAGGTCAGGAGTTTGAGACCAGACTTACCAACATGGAGAAACCCTGTCTCTTCTAAAAATACAAAATTAGCTGGGTGCGGTGGTGCATGCTTGTAATCCCAGATACTGGGGAGGCTGAGGCAGGAGAATGGCTTGAACATGGGAAGTGGAGGGTGCCATGAGCCGAGATCACACAATTGCCCTCCAGCCTGGGCAACAAGAGTGAACCTCCATCTCTAAATAAATAAACAGCAAGCAAATCTTTTGTCAGAAAAACAATTGTATTATGGAACATTAAATGTAACTGATTATAGGACTACGCTACTACATGAGATAATCTTGAAAGCCGTTAAATAGTCATAAATGACAGAATATATAATATAAATTAAATTTCATAAATAGTTAAAAGCTTCTGATAAAGTTTGTATTAGTAACATGGCTATATTATACAGTGTCTAAAATTTCTAATTTGATTATTTGACAGCATAGAATAAGCTAAGGAAATGATTTCAATATTTCAATTTAAAAATAGCATGCAATGATTGTAATCATTGATAGCAATAATTCAACTAATAAGTCTACCTAAGACATTAAGAATTTGTGCATTTTTGTGATAAAATAAAATGAATAAGGAAACTAACGTATTTGATATGTTATTTGTGTTCTACAGTAAGTACCATCCTCAGTCATCCTAGCTGTTCTGTATGTCAGTTTTCTGGGCCTCAATTTCTTATCTGCATAAGAAAGTGACTGGATGAGGGGAGCCCTAGTCCAATCATTGATTCTCTATCAATGAGTCTCTCAATCTAGGACTACCTTAATTGAGACTGACTAATTCTCTGGGAGAAGGTGTTTCCTAGTATGTAATACCTTGATAAAATCAATTAATCAGTAAGACACGTAGGTTTAAAATTTGTTGAATGGATATGATTGGAAGATATGCAAATCTGTTTTTTTTCTAATTCTTAATCCTATTTATTAATTTCTCTGCTTTAAAACTATTTTATAAGATTATATTTTTATTATTATATGATCATATTATAGGCAAACCTTCTACTTTTAATAAAATAGTCCAACAGATAAAAGTTTGTTAATTTTGTACTCCATGCATTTATTTTCAAACATGGTCTTCTTTCAGTGCTGGGTTTCAATAAACATTTCTTAAAACTTGATGGTTTTATATTATAACTTAAAGATGATAGAGAGCTCACAGAATGATTTGCATAATTGTGTTCCTCAGAAAAGATAATATTCAGAAAACAGAAATCAAATCAACACTTGAGTTTAACTTGTACCTGCAAGCCAGCAAAGTACTTTAAAAGTAAATCTATCTTTATTGATACCTACTGAAAACAGTAGAAACTATCGGATTTTTAATTTCTGGAGAGCATTCTTTTCTGAGTGCTTTCTGTCTGTTTCTTCCCAGAAGATAGACCTATTGACATTTTTATTATTGATTTATTTCATATACATGCCTTTCATCTCCACATTTTTTTTCTCTTTCTCCCTCCCACCTTTCTATCTAGTATACTGTGTGGACTGCCCTCTGGGTCACCTGGAATGTGTTCATTATCTGCTTTTATTTGGAAGTCGGTGGACTTTCTAAGGTGAGTTTATCATGCTTTTAAAATACACTTTAAAATGAGTACACATCTAAGTATTGTGACTACATCCACATATATGTATATTTTACATGTGTGTGGGTACAGAATCTTGAAATACTTTTCAAAAAAGACTTTAGGTACCCTTTAGGAAAGAATCATCTTGGGATTATGTTAATATAATGGAACTTCAAAACAACTGCCTTCTGGTTTAGTTTGTTATACTGAAGTGGGACTCAACTTCCAATGTATCCTCTTGTCTATTTTAAAAAGACATAATGTCATAGTGACTGCAGGCCTAAATGTTAAGTAGAAAATGGTGTTGAACATGCTTGTGTTTAAAGTAAAAGGGATTAATGAAGATGTTAACATAACAAACACGAATGGCAAGTTTCTATCTTTGCTGGACTATTAATTCTGGAAAAAATTGTCAAAAAATGAAATCCTTATATAGGTAAGTAGAGCCCACATTTACTAAGAAGTAAATGCATCAGTGTGGTGATTCCTATTTTGAAATTTTAATCACACAGAAGACAGTTGTCTTAATGGAGCAATGACGCACACATTATATCTGCCTGTCTAGAACTGTCAGCAAAGCACATAATTTTATTATGCCTCCTACAGAACTATCTCATCACCCAAGTGTAAGAACAACTTAAGTTTCTAGTTGTGTTTCTTAAACAGGTTTTGTGTGAATTAGCATAATTTTCACTCTAGAGAGGAAACTTAACAGCATAATTCCAAAAAGTATAAGAAAGCTCAAGAAAGCTGTCATCCTTTAAAAATTCCCATTATCAAATACATTTATGCTAACTTATTCTACTGTTTTATATCGGTCTCAAATTTTCTAAGTAATTTACTTCTGGTTTAGATTTTAGAATATGTGTCTTGAGCAGCAAGGATACTTTTAGAATTAGGTTCCTTTGAAGTTCATGTGGTAACAAAACATGTTTGATTCAACCAAGTAGCAAAAATCCCTGAAGGATTTTTTCCAGAGCCTCCAGAGGTGATTACTCTTTTTTTCTCCACTATAATAACTGTAATTAGAACTTGTCACCATTTTCTCACATTGGCAAATGTATTCAGGAACCAGAAGTAATATTTCCAAAATTGAGTTCCATACATTTGGACTAACATCTAACTTAAATAATTGTGCTATCAACTGTAGTTCACCACTAATTTCTAAGGCAGAAAAAAAATACTTAAATTAATGCCCAGTTATATTCTATAAATGCAGATTATGAAGTAAATAATTTTCAGATGCAAGTCTTATGAATAAAATAATTACAAATAATATGCTAAGCACATATTCAACCCATTGCATTTTGTATCTTGTGATTTGAATGGTCATTTTAATTAATTTTTTATTTCACTGGGTAGAAATTATTATCTTTTCTTCTATATAAACTAATTTGGGATAAATTAGACCAAAGAAATTTGTCCTATGTAATTGGCATCATAGTGTTTAGAAAGAAGGCTGAATTTCGAATCATAAATCTTTAGTTCAAATCTTGTCTTTAGCACTTATTAACTGTGAACTTGGAAGCAAATCATTTGGTTCCATGGAGTCTTGGTGAAAACTAGTAAGACCAGCTTTTCCCATAATAATAGTAGTCAGTGTTTATTATACACATGATATGTGGTAACTCAGGTAAGCTTTAAAACAAATCTGGGAAGTGATAAAACACATAAGTAAATATCAGCAACCATATTTTTCATATAACTGATTTTCCATACTGCTCAAGATAATTTTTGTGAATTGCTTGCTGTAACTGCTTTTTGAATATCCATGTGCATGTCTAAAAGTTTTTATCTCATTTCTTTGGGTGCAAGGTTGAAAACATGGACATAGTCATCCTGGTTATTTATTTTATTACCTATTTAAATGCCATTAAGCAGTCAATCAAGTAACATCCTAAAGATTTTTCTGTTGGTCTCCTATTTACTGCCTCAAAGACTGTAACATCTCCCTGGTTAGCCAAAGTTTAGCCTCAATTCCAATCTGTAGGAAATCTATTTTGGAAAATAAAGCAGAGTTAAGGACCCTTGACAAACACAAATACCTAGCCACTTTTCCAGACTGGTTCGATTGTGTAAGAAACTCTTTGTCCGTAGCTAGATTCTCTCTCCTGCTAGTTCATGAATGTATTTCTTGGAATTATTTATTCAGATAGATTAATAGAAACCTCCCTATACTGTCACTTTGGTCCAAAATATACCTTCTGATATAGTGAATCTTTCTTTAAAAATGGGATCCAGAGTAACTTCCACAACATCTCTGTGGATTTGGGTGTTATTCCAATGACAGATATGGCCTATAAATAGTCATTTGTATGCTATGGTGTTCTTTTGCAAACAGTTTGAATTCTTTGAGTGACAGTTGTCCTGTCTCACGTGAAAGGTAGTGAGCAATCTCATGGGCTGGAGTGCCTGAAAACTGAGATTCTTACAATGCTGGATAGGCTGTGTACTCTTGTGTTTTAAAAAGTTCATTTTAATTCCTAGTAAGAAAAATACTGATAGCTGTAATCCACATAAGCAAAAGCTGTTTAGGATCCTCATTAACATTTAAGAGTATAGACAGGTGCTGAGGCCAAGAAGCTTGAGAACCACTCCCATAGAGTAACCAGTATAACTAACTAGCTAAATAAAAATGATGTAAACAGTAAGAAACCGAAGAAGATGATACAAATAAGAAACAAATAACAATATGGTAGATTAAAATACAACAATGTCAATAATTATATGAAATGTAAATAGACTAAACACCAGTTAAAGAAAGAGATTAGAACAATGGATTTTTAAGAAGATAGTACTTTATGTTATTTATATGAAATACATATTAAATATAAACACATATATGTGTGGAAATTTAAAAAGATGGAAAATACATGCTATGCAAACAATCATCAGAAGAAAACCTCTGTGGTCATACTAATGTTAGAAAAAAAGTAGACTTCAAATAAAGAGTATGAATATAGATAAACAGATGTTTTATAATGATAACAGGGTCAATGTATTAAATAGAAACAATAATTCAAAATACATCAAATAACAGAATTTTAGAATATATGAAGTAAAAATGTGAAATATTAAAGGGGGAAATTGGCAAATCCATTAACATGGGGAGAGTTTAATACTCCATTCTTGCTTATTGAGAGAAAAAGTAGGCACAATTCAATACAAATAAAATATTTGAACAACACTATCAAACAATTTGTCTGTCATATAGAGGATATTACACTTAAAATTACGAGATACATTTTCTATTAGTGTGCTGAACAATGACCAAGATGGTATTCTGGGCCTTAAGCAAGTCTCAATAAATGCTGAATGACTGAAATAATAAAGATAATATTCTCCCACCGCAAATATAAGAATAATTTATAAATGTTAATAAATCACAAATCAAACAAGAAATTTAGAAGAAAATTGAAAAATACATCATTCAAAAAAACTATTATTTGTGGATGAATTTCTAGTAGTATTTAGAGGAAGAAATGTAGCTTTAAATTGATATTAGAAAAAAGTTAAACATCAATGATATACACTTTCATCTTAAGAAGAGCAATTTGACTAACATCCTATAGTTGGTTCTTTGAAAAGATTAATAAACCAACAAGCACGTAGTAAGGTTGATCCAAAAAAGAAGAAACATTACAAAGAAAGAAGTGACATAACTACAGATTCAACAGAAATTTAAAAATTAATAGAAAAAAATTAAAAATCAATATTGCCAGCCATGAATTTATAATTAAAAATCTTTCTACAGAAAAAAGAAAATCAAAGCAGAAACAATTGGTTTGCAATTGGTTAAGAAAACAGAGTTTTCTGTTTAAAAATTTTGGAGTTAGTAGAAAAATGTCAACTTGCTAGGGGGAGTGACTTTCTCCAAGCCTCTCATGAAAAAACTTGGAACAGAAGGCAATAGCTAAAGGTTAGTTTTCACTTCCCTCCAATCTGGGCTCTATGTACCAGCAGATCTGTTAGGTGGGGATCCCCAGTGGGTGTCCAAGACTCTGAAAGACAACTCAGGGACATCTGTTCAGATGTCATCTTTAGTTTCTGCAGGGAAAGCAAACATCTCTGGAGGTTTAACTCCCTTCACTATTGTTAAGGCTACTATTATCTTCTTGTTTAGCAAGTTACTTAATTACCTCTGGGGCTAGCTAGATGCCTGGAATTTCTCTTTAAACAATTTTGGGATTTTCCTTTATTTGCCTGCTTGGAGTTTCGAAGGCCTTCAAAAAGGGGCTCGGGGTGGAGGTCTTTACTCAGCATCACTCTATCAAACATAATAAATAAATAATGCTAATCTTACTCAAACTCTTACAGAAAATACAGGAGAAGAGACCGTTTCACAAATAATTTGGTGAGCTAACATAATCCTGATACCACCTCATAGACAATAATTAAATTGACCAAATTGACCTCTATGTTTTAGCAATCCTTGGCCATCTTTCCAGGAAATTCCTCATTGGCCATTCTGCCAAGAGGGACTCCAGATAGGACTTGTTTGTGACCACTTTATCTTCCCTTCTCTTCTCTCCCAGGCTCTTTGCTAAGATCAAAATTCTTACTCCTTTATAGATCAAATCAAATCAGCTCTACCTTTGTCTCTCCCTCACTAATCCAGGCTATTTGCAAGCATCCTCACTTGTCTTATCTACAAAGGCCCAACCAAATGTACTCCTTAAAAATGAGCTCTCTGTCACACAGATGAGAAATGCCACTCTATCACATAGCAACAGCACCTACAGTCAGATTGCATTTAAAGACTGTTTTTTAATTCCCCATTACATTTCAGTACTTTTTGAAGTGGTAGTTATTATTAAGCCCAATTAAATTATTATTAAGCCCAACAATTGGGCTTAGAAATAGACAATGACATGAGACTTCACTTTCTTTCTTTCCTTCCTTTTCTCCTTCCTTCCTTCCCTTCTTCTCTCCTTACCTCCTTCCTGACTTCCTTCCTTCCCTCCTTTCCTCCTTCCCTCCTTCCTTCC